AGGAAGAAAAAGGTGCTGGGTCCTCATATCCCTTTAAAGGCATGTCTCAGTGACCTAACTTCCTCTCTTAAGGCCCCGCCTCCTACAGGCTCCACCAACTCCCAATAGACCACAGGCTGAGGACCAAGCCTCCAATCTGAGGGCCTTTGGGGGACACTTATCCAAGTCATAGCAGATGATGACCTGTAGCTTGTGACACTCAGACATTCTGAAGAAGACTGGTGCTCTTTTGCTATACTTCTGTGCTGGTGGTCATGAATACCACCACCCAGCAAGCTGGCGCAGACACGTACATTTTAAGAAAACATACTGTCAGTTCTCAACAACGTGAAGCATGCCTTTGTTTCTGATGCCCATCCTTCCTTCAGATGGCAGCAACATAACCACACACACGCACAGAAATTAATAGGAGGCCCAAAGATGCGAACAAAGAAACACACACCATCAAATGGTTCTAAGTCCCCCCCAGGTGACTCCTCTGAAATCACAACACCTGAATGCAGTCATTCTTTCAAGTGTCTTGCGATAAAAAAAAAAAAAGAAAGAAATCATGAAGACAATGAAATAATACACACCAAAGTTCTAACCCATTCTATTGTAAATGTGATGGGGTGCAATTTGTTCAGCCTCACATCCCTTGTAACTGAATTAAATGTGCTTTTAAAAGCTGTATAATGGATAGCCCGTTGTATCTAATTGTAGAATGTGTTTATAGTCACCATATAATTTAGATCCGAGGTTCCTGAGTGGGCTATAAAGTCCCCAAACTCAGAATCTTTCTTCCTGTTACCAAATCCCAATACCATATGTAGAAGGGAAAATTAGGTTTGATTAACCTGAGTTGTGTTTGCAGAGCTTCTTGAAGACATGAAACCTATGCACTTTAAATTTCTAATTAAAAATTTTAATTACCCAGACCCCCTCCTCCACCTCCATGTGTGAGTGTGTGAGGATGGGCCTTTGTCTGCTTGGCTTCATGCTAAGCCCCCAGCCCCTGGTATGTGGCCTGACCCATGCTGGACTCTTAACAAATGTTGGATTGATAGATAACTACTAAATTATTTTCTGAAATGAGATACAGAATCCGTGATGGTCAATTTTATGTGTCAACTAGTCTAGGCCAAGATAGATAGGCCTAGATAATAATGTTTAGTCAAAAATTATTCTGGATATCATTGCCGTGGAGTTATTTAATTTTACAATTTGGGGAGTGGGCGGTAGGAGTGCCAGTGATTGAATCCAGGCCTCCTATTTGTTACACAAGCCCTCTACCATCAGATCACACTGTACCCCAGCTCTTTTTATATTTTTATTTTGAGACAGGTTCTCATGAACTTTCCCTGATTGGCCTTGAATTTATAATCCTACTGCCTCAGTCTCCAGAGTAGCTGGGATTTACAGGTATGTCTCACCACATTCAGTTTTATTTTACTTTTTTTTTAGATGATTGTAACATCTAAATCAGCAGACTCCAAGCAAAGCAGATGATGCTCTATAATGTGGGTGGGCCTTGTCCAATCAGTGCAAGACCTTAACAGAATCAATACTGACCTCTCTGAGCAAGAGGGCGTTCTGTCAGTGAATGGCTTTTGGACTTGAAATGCAACATCCACTCTTCCCTGGGTCTCCATCTTGCTGGTTTGAGACTTGTCAACCTCCATATTGTGTGAGTCAATTCTATAAAATAAAACTCTCTGTACACACATGAGCGCGCGCGCACACACACACACACACACGTATGTATGAGATGGTCCCTAACTAACAGTGGTGTAACTCAGGACTTTTCAACTTTACAGTAGTGTGAAAGTATTACACATTCAGCAGAATGAACAAAGTTTAAATTTGAAACTTGTATCTTTCTCCCAGCTAGGGACATGTGGTCCAATCCTCTCTTTAGACGCTGGGCAGGCATGGACAGCCACAGTTTCCAATCAGCCATGTGATCATAAGGGGAAACCAAATCGACTGCACAGTGTTCTGCGTGCTGAGCTACGATGGTCAATGTCAGCGGGTTAAGAGAATCAAACGCATTTTTGACTTGATGGTATTTTCAACATATGTTGGGTTTATCAGGACATAACCCTGGCTTAGTCAACACACATCAGGATATTACCCTGGCTTAGTTAATACACACACACACACACACACACACATCCTATTGAGTCTGTTTTTCTGGAGAATCATGATTAACAGGCTATTCCTCATTTATTTATTCTCAATGGGTCAGTCAATATGTGTCACCTACAAAGAATAGTTCACACCCCCCAAGCCCCCACAGCTACCAAAGTCAGACCAATGGCACCTGACTTAAGGTCATGGCTTCAACTCCTCCATGTCCCTGGAGGGACAGAGCACAGCACCCCTCAGTGTTCCATTTCTTCTGTGATGCAAAGTGCCTGCTGATAAACGGGCGCTGACAGGGAATCTGACTTGCTAAAGCCATGTCAGGGTGGTGTGACCTGGGAAACAGCCTTCTCATTTCCCATGGTGACACTGAGCTGCTGATGGTCTCACTTCCTCTAAATATTTCCACTCAGTACCAGTGACTCTGTGGGTGGGGACTTTCAGTGTCATGGAAATTAGTTAAAAGGTTACCCATGGCTAACAAACGGTCCCCTGCACTGTAAGGAGAAGGTGACTGTAGAAAATTTATCAATGGGAAGCTGACAGGGGGCAGCGTGGGAAATGTTTTCTTTAGCATCAAGCCAAGTGATTGACACTTGTGGAGCCCAATCACTTGTCTATGAACTGTACTTCTGTAAATGGAGTGTTCATATAGATCCTTCCAGAGCTCACGAGGAGAGGAAGTGGACAGGCTGCTGAAAGTGAAAGCCTGAATCCTGCCTCCTGGGCTGGCCCAGGCACAGTGTCTATCTCTTTTTATTTTTAGAGAGTCATTTGAATCTCAGGAAGTCTTTTGATCTCCTCCTTCCCACCCACTTAAGGCCCCATCCCTCCTGTGATGTCTCCCACCATTTGGCTCTTGAGTTACTATTTCATTCCCTTGTAACCCCCAGTTCAAAACTGTTCCTAACTTGACCTTGAGCTTCACATCTCTGCTGCTGATCTTTTGTGCCAGAGAGAGGGAGAAATTTGAGGCCCGTTGTGCCCCCCTGAAATCCTAACTCTGAGCCCTTGTCCTTCACAATGACTTAACACTGTCATTTGATAGCAAGATCCATTGTCATATGTTCATGCAACAGAGCCCTACACAGCATGAGAACAAACCATCAACTCCCCGCCCCCACCCTTGCTGAGCCAGGGAGGGAACCCAGGGCCTCACAAAAGCTAGGCAAGTGCTCACCACCAAGCCCCACCTCCACCTCCTCACTGGTACCTCCTCCTCAACATGTGGACCTCCCTTACAACATAGTGTGGAGCCAAACAGCAAGTCGTGGAGGAATGCATTCAGTAAGGTTGCATTTATTTACAGTTCCCAAACAGGCAATGCAAATGAACAAAAACCACAACTATATGTAAATTGTGTATATATGCATGCATACATGTACATGTATGCACAATGACATGGGAGGCCCAGGTGTTTGAAGATCCGACCAGAGTCAGAGGTCCAAAAGAATGAAAAAGGCAAAGTTTTCTCTCTCTGTGACTCAAGTGAATTAATGCCATCTCAATGAAATTTAAAAAAAAAAAAAAAATATATATATATATATATATATATATATATCTTCATTTTATTTATGTTTCTACGTGGTACTGAGGATCAAACCCAGGGCCTCGCTCATGCTGGGCGAGCACTCTACTGCTGAGCCACAACCGCAGCCCCCTCAATGCATCTTGTACCATGTAATATTATCCTATTTGTTCTCCACACTTTGGAAAGTTTGATCCACTGAGCTATGGGGGAGACAGCTAAGCAGGGGAACACAGAGCTCATTTGCTGCACAATGCTATTCACCCACTGCGGTTTCCTAGGGAGACTGGTGGCATCTTGAAGGAACTAGTGCTGAGCTAGTGCTATGCGCTTCTCTAAGCTGAGGTCAGAGGGGATGAGTAGAAGCCCCCCATCCCTCATCCCCCCACACTACCCCCTTGAATGGCTACAAGGAATATCAATGCACAGATGTCTAAGGTCAAGGGCAGTTGATCACTGGAGAGTGGAGGACTAAACTACACTGAAGTGCCGCATATCAACGTCTCAGTCAGCGATGGGCTGCATTTACAATGTGGGTCCCATAAGATCACAATGGAGCTGAAAACTTCCTATAGCCTAGTGATGTGCTAGCTGTCACCACATCAGAACACAGCAGATTTCTCAGATGTGGACAGACCTACTGCCAGTCAGACAAAAGCACAGCACATCCAATTACGTATAGTACCTGATACTTGCTAATGCTAATAGGTGACTAAGTTAATGGTTTGTATATTTACTTAAATTTTTATCATTATTTTAGATTATGCTGCTTCTCCTTACAGAAAAAAGGTTTCCTGTTAAACAATCTGCCATGTGACACCAGCAACAGTCTCACACATCTCTGGTGCATCTCTTGATTGCCTTATTTTCTCCCATGCTTGGTTTAATCTTGTATTGTTCTGTTTAGCCCTCGGAGCAACAGGCTTTAGTAGGCTGTACCATCTAGGTTTGTGTAAACCCCCCCTCTATGATGTCCACACCATGAAATTGCCTAATGATGCACTTCTCAGAACAATCCCTGTCATTAAGCAACACACGACCGTATTTGAGTACCCGCAGCATCGTGGAGCAGGTGGTCTTAGGTTGGGTTCCTCCAGGAGTGGATTCGGAGTCAGGATTCCAGGGCTGTAGTTTAAGAAATAGTTCCGGCCAGATGTGGTGGAGCATGCCTGTAATCTCAGCGACTGGAGACAGAGGCAGCAGGATCACAAGTTCAAAGCCAGCCTTAGCAACTTAGCGAGACCCTAAGCAACTTAGCAAGACTCTGTCTCAAAATAAAAAAAATAAAAAAGGGCTAGGATGTGGTTCAGTGGTTAAGCACCCCTGGGTTCAACCTGAAGAAGAAGAGAAGGAAGAGGAGGAGGAGGAAGAGGAAGAGGAATAAGAAGAAGAAAAAGAAAGAAAGAGAGAGAAAAAGAGTCCCAAGAATGAGGGGGCAGGAGGTTGAAGGAAGAGAAGAAGCCATAACAGGCCACTGCAGCCCAATGCATGTGACAATTTGGGCAAAGGTAAGACACAGAGCTTACTGTTACTCTACTCAGGACTGAACAAGTGGGGATATTAATTCTGGTGCATTTTTGCTGGTCTTTGGGGTGATTGCAGTTGGCTCTAGCTGCTTTGGGGAAAGCCCTGAGGTCAAGGGTTAAAAATTCATTGTGCTTGAAGTCAGCACAGTCACAGTGACGCTGGAGGTCAGACGCAGGGCACCGATTGCTTCTAGACACCCCCTCTCCGCTAGAAGCTCCAAGCCTGTGAGATCAACTTGAACCCCCGCGCCCCGCCCCAGCCCTTCTTTTCCCTTATTAACATGTAGAGGAAGAGGCACCAGGAGGCCCGTCATTTTGGCAAAGTCATGAAGTCTGTCCCCTTCTATATCACTGGTGACTCCTGCCTAATCTTCTGCTTTTTTTCCCTACTCCTGTGTTTTAAATGCTAAAAGGAAATCCATGCAACATAAAGTTAACCATTAAAAAAAGAACAATTGCATGACATTTCATTTATTCACTATATTATGCAACTGCCACCTCTGAAATATTTTTATCTCCCCAGAAAGAAATCCTATACCCATTAAGCCTTTGCTCTCCATTTTCCCCTGCCCCCAACCCCTGGTAACCACCAATCTGCATCCAGTCTCTATTGATTTACCTCTTTGGAGCATTTCATATAAATGAGATCTTCATATGACATATGTTTTCCAGGTTCATGTAATAGCAGGTTTCAGTACTTTATTCCTTTTGATGGATGAGTGATATTTCATTATATGGATATTATGCTATTTGCTTATCCATTCATTTGTTGATGGACATTAAGCCATTTTTATTTGGGGGTTATTATAAATAGTGCAGCTATGAAAATGAGGGTGTATATACTTAATTGAGTCCCTTTCTTCAGTTCTTTTGGATATGTAGGTGTCTCTTGGTATCCACGAGGAATTGGCTCGAGGACCCAAATGTGTGGATGCTCAGGTCCCTTATATAAAATGGCATAGAATTTGCACAGAACCCTTGCACATCCTCCTGTATGCTTTGCCATCTCTAGATTACTTACAACACCTAACACCAATGCAAACGCCAGGTAAATAGTTGTTATACTGTATTGCTTAGAAAACAATAATAAGAAAAAAGTCTGCACATGTTCAGCATGGATGCAGTTTTTCCCTCAAATATTAAATCTGCAGGTGCAAAACCTGGCAGGCTGGAATTGCTGGATCCTACGTTAATTCTGTGTTTAACTTTTCAGTGAGCCATCTTAGACTTCTTGGGAAATTCATTCTCCTCTGCCTCTATTAAAAATGTTAGCATTTTTTGAGTTCAGCCCTAAGTCACTCCCTTTGTTCTCACCTGAGAACTCAGTCTCAAAGCCTATCATCTATACCCATGGCTTTAATTCCCACGATTATGCCGTAACCAAAGGTCTGCAGGTCTCTACTGGGAGCTCTAGACCAATCTGTCAACTGCCAGCTGACATCTGTCCTTGGATGTCCACCAGACCCTCCCCAAATCACTCATCCAGAATTAATTGATCACCAGCTTTATCAGTCTCTGATGGGCATCTCTTTGGACATTCCATGTGGGAAACTGGGGAGCACCTTTGACTCCCCCACATTCTCTTTTCCTTACCACAAAGCTCTGTTTACTTTCCTTCTAGATGACCCTTGAGTTCATCCACCTCTGCTTCTGTCACCTTCATCCTGTATACCCATGGCTGCCTCACTTGACGAGCTGCATCAAACTTCTTGTGTTCTCCCTCAGAGGTGGTTCCCTCTGGTCCTTCCTCCGCACCATAGCAAAAGGGATCAGCTCACAACATACCTAGCAGCTCCCTGATGAGAACACCTAGCGGCCTTAATGCCAGCTGCACATTTCTGCTCTCTGACATTTCCCCTGAAGTCACGCTCCTCTCCACCCTGGCTGCACTGGCTGAATTTTTCCAGATGATGTCCGCCCCCCCCCTCCCCCCCAGAGTTCTGTATGCCTGTGTCCTCTGCCTGGAACTAGCCCTTGCCTCACGCATCCCTCCACCTCTTTGGGTTCTAATCTCCATCCTTATTATGGAACCTCCTGAACACCAAGACAAGATCAGGTATCCCCACCACATGTTCTGGTCCTTGTCACATTAGATAATCATCAATGGTGTTCAGAACATGACAGACAACCCCATAAGAAGCCAGAACATGCCACCCCAAAGTACACCTCTGTCACATATTGGTTATGTAGAGCTGATTGTTTTGAAAAACCACAGACACAGAAGCTCTAAAAGTTGCTTGTCTGGGCGGGGGGGGGGGTGGCATTTTTAAAAGAAGTATCCCCTTTTCACTGCCCGTTCTGTCCGCGTTCTTTCTCTTCTCCCCCTCCCCCCCCCCCCACCAGAAGGAGAAGGATGGCTAAATCAACAGATTCTAGGTCAGTGGAGAATGCACCATGTCAATCTGCCTCAGGACTTTACCCTTCCTGTGCCTCGCTTTTCCTGGTCATCTACTCATAACCAGGCCTTTCCTTCACCATCCCATAATTTTCCTCTGCCGGCCTCTAGAGTCACGGATTCCCTCTTCCCCTCTGCAGCTCAGGATGTTGTATAAGCCTCAAGGATCTAGCCACCTTTTGAGTTTCATATTTTTAGGTACACAGGTAATTAAAGTTGTTTTCTCTGATCGTGTCTTATATCAATTTCATTCATAGACCAGTTGGTCAAAGAACCTAAAAGGGTAAAAGAAAGCAATTTTTTCCCCTGTGGTCTGCCTCTCCCTCAGACTGAAACCCTGTGGGCACAGGCCAAGGCCAGTCTTGTTCCCTCTTCTATAGTTCTGCCTCACAAAGTGGCTGCTACAGGTGAGCACTCGCTAGGCCATTGGTCAATACATTAACTCATTAACGAGAAATGGCGGAGCTCTAATTCCAAACTGATTTCATATCCTTCCCTTTCCATTGCTCCACGTCCCCATTCTTAGTAGAATGGGTCTGTCCTTGAAAACAACCAAGCTTGGAAGGAAACAGCTGTGAGGAGGAAAACCATTTGGCTGGGTCCCAGAATTCGATCAAGGATAATTGCTCTTCACACTCAGTCATGGGTGGGAAACCAACTCCTGGGGGGAAAGAGGGGCTCCCCAGGCAGGAGTGAAAAAGATCAGAGCACCCTTCCTCACTCCCCTGGCCAGCACGGGAGCGGACTTCTCAGGCATCTCCCTGTAGCCTGAAACCGCGATAGGACCCTTTCAGAGTGACTCTCCTCCTTTAGGTGTTCTTCATTTTGAAGTCATTTTGGTGTGAGAGAAAAACATTACCTCAAATCTTCCAGAAAGGTCTGGAAGAAAGGCAACTGAATGAATGAATGGATGGATGTGTTAAGTGAATAAATAAATATAAAGGAAAGTAAGGATGGAGCGCTGAGGGTGGCCCTGTGTGGTGGTAGAGCACAGTACCATTTGTCCCCAGCCCTTCAGAGATGATGCTAGTGACCCCTGGAGCTGGCCCCCCACACAACCCCATTCTCAGTCACCATTCCTTGCCCCCCAAGAGCCATCCCCAAAGAGGCTGAAAACAGGGTGGATGTAAGTGACTCCAATCCACACTCCCAAGTACTGAAATAGTTTAAGAAAACAAAAAACTTAGCTCCTCAACTCAAGGTCTCTGAGGACAGCAGGAAGAGAGGAGGGGCCAGGTCCTGGCACACCAGGAAGCATCTACCTGGATGATTTAAAAAGTAAAACTGTCTGGGTTCTAAGGTGCATGCAAGCCAGCGCCTCCAGGTCAACTCAAAGAAGAACTAGAGTCCCTCTTCCTCAATCAGGGCATGTTGAACCCTCCTGGCCCCAGAGAAGGGTGTCAGGAGTGTCTGTCATCAACTCAGGAAGTCAGAGTCTGAGCGAGCTGCACCCTGGCCCCAGCGAGGGGCTGAGCACTCACCCCAGGGCGCGCCTCTGCGATGGATCCTGAGCGCCTGGCCTTCCTGCCCTCTCTGGGCTGGGCGGACAGGCAGGAGGTGACAGCTATTCCCTCTGCATGCTTGGGCTTCTCTCTTTCTGGCTGCAGCCACCAGAACTTGCTTCTAAAGGCAGCTCTAAGCTTTTCTCTGCTGGGCAACCGCACACGTAGGATGTGATGGCGTGTGTCTGGGGGTTTCCTTCCGGTGGCTGTGAAGTGAGGTTGTCTCGGTTCATTTCCTCTCTGGGCCTCTTCTTCTTTTCCTCCCTCAGAACTTCGGATAGGCTGAGGACACCTTATAGTGTGGGGACAGGTAAGACATCTAGTTCTTAGGGGGGGCCATTTGCTTTTTTAGATCTTTAAATTAGCACGACCATGAAGTTCTGTGGGACTGTCTTTTTCTCAGTGGCATAACTCCTTTCTAGGCTGCATTGAAGCAAAGTATAGGCGATTTAAAAGCCAACTGAATTGGGATTTTGTGTTTTCAGGGACCAAATTTGTTCTAGAAGATTCCACTGTGAACTGACATGAAACGCTCTTTCATAGGACAATCACCTATTGAGTTTATCTACTAGACTAGGCACCATGCTAGGAGCTCAGTACTCAAATGGGGAATCTCCCTGGGAATATAGCTCAGTGGTGAAGTGCTCGCCTAGCATGAGCTAGGTCCTGGGGTCAAACCCTGGGGCTAGGAAAAATGAAAACCAAGCCACATGGAGAATCTCCTAGTTACAAGGTAGTATAAAATAAGCTTCAATTTGTGTATATGGGGGGAAATTTTAAAGCCACCCAGCACCCACCCTTTGTCCTCTTCTGTGCTTTTGAGTGGCGGACAATGCCACTCTTGGAACATTTTCATCTTTCCGTGGCTCGGCTTCCTCATCTGTGAAATGGGAACAATCAGGAATTTGTAAACTAAATGAATTAATGCTTGGCACAAATAAAAAAAAAAAAATACTAGATAAGTGTCTGCCATCATCATTAATGGCAATTTTGTATCATTATGAGTGGAGGCCTTTGTTTTTTCTCTTCCCTTCCTCATTTCTCACTCCTTGCTGGTGCCTAGAAAGTGACTTGGGGACATAGCAGGTTGAGAGCAAAAAGAGAGAAGGTTTGACAACAAATGCTCCCAAAATAACTCAGTGGTGCCGAGTGCTTCTGGTTAAGTTTCTGCTTGTTCTACCATCAAGTCCAGGAACGGGGAGCCTTGGTCCTGCCTCCCTGGGTCCTGTCCCATCACACACAGCTCATGGAGGATGCTGAACTTTTGTGATTTTTTTTTTTTTTTTTTGGTGTTACTAAGGATCAAATCCAGGGCCTTACACATGTTAAGCAGGCACTTTATCATGGAGCTACATCCCAAACCCCTATTTTGTTATTTTAATTTCCTGTAAGACTTGGCTAAAATTCAGATTTATATCATGGATCTTAAATGTTTGAGCTAGCATAAATCTTGCTAAAGAATATTACACCCATAAAAGATACCTCTTTCCACAAATAAAGAAATAATACTTGGCTCAAGACCTGTACAGTTGGGACTTATCAGTATATCAAGAACAAGAACATGGGTACCAATCATCAAACATGTCCTTCCCTCCTGTGTGAAACGTACAATGTGCATCAAGGTACTGTGTCCTACTCTTTCTCTCTTCCTCTTCTTCTCACAAAACCACTTTGGAATACATGCCATATGTCAGGAGCTCTACCAGATTCCAGGTAGAATTATTCTGTTCCCCAATTTTTATTTTACAGTGCAGAGTTATCTTGATAAATTGATGAAGGTAGAAGAAAAACCTATTTTTATATCAACATATTCTTCTGTGTATTTCCTGTTATCCCTTTTTCATATACCATTATTTTCTTCATCAGGCACTTATACTTGGTATATGATTTGAATGTATACATTTGAGGAAATATAGTCTATGATTTCGTGATACAACATGGGTATTAGTACACCAGATTGTCTCTGTAATCAAGGACACTAGGTGGGCCTGAGGAGCAGCTCAGTTTCCTTTTGTATAAAGCACTTGCATCTTACAACTTGATTCTCCTTAACTCTGTCCTTTCTTCTTAGGGGCTTCTTTTCCCACTTTGAGCTGCCTGAGTCTCTCATTGTTGAGTTTTTCAGAATGAAGAGAGAACAGGTCTTTTAAGTCAAGCTGAGGAACTAAGGCTTTGACCAAAATCAGATCAGTTATTTTAGACAGACAAGTGAAATATTTTTCCAAGTTGGAAAGATACAAAGTTTCTATGTCTGGTTTCTTATTTATAATGTTAGATATTTCTTCTTCTTTGATTCCCTCCCTCCCTCCCTTCCTCCCTCCCTCCCTTCCTCCCTTCCTTCCTTCCTCCCTTCCTCCTTCCTTTCTCTTTTGATTGGCGACAGGTTATGCTGCATGTCAAAACTTTGACAAACCCCAGATGGTTCTGACAAAAACAAGCAGCTGTAATTGCTAATCACTGTATCCAGGGAAGACAGTGTTTCCATTCCCAGTTTCATTTCAACAGTCTTCTTGATGGCTTTAATCAGCTTCTTCATGCCATCGTAGTTAGCTGGAATCTCAGCTCGCACCACAAAATGGTTTATAACTACCTGTTAAGCGGTAGCCAAACCCCCAGCAACTGCTTTGAATTTGTCACGGATGTTTGGTCTAGAAAGTGACTGTTGCATGAGGCAGAGGATGAGGGATAGGAGAAGGAGAAATGGGGAAGCTTAAGATTAAAAGTTTGCAGAGTCTACTACGCCAAGGTGTTTGTGTGTTTATGATTCCATCTGTTTGACTCATTTCCTTCCATGACTGAAGCTAGCCTTAGCCATGGAGAATTCTTAGCTGCCCACTAAGGAATTTAAATGAGTATGCTCAAGAGTTGATTTGGCAAGTTTTAAGAGAAAAATCCCCCAGCATTTTAAAGCATGCCTCATCCCTGCTTGGGAATAGAGTCGGTTTTGTGATTCTCATTTTTAGATGAGGAAATCAGAACTCAAAAAAAAAAAAAAAAAAGATCTCATTCGATAACTATGTGATAACTATGTGACCCTGCAAACTCCCTTGAGCTTTCTGAGCCTTTCTGATACATCATTTGATAAGACACAGACCCACCCTCAAGAAACTTGTTTCATGGGGAGATAACCTAATGAGAAAACAGTTCCCATGAAATGGTTCACTCCCAATTTTAAAAGCACTTATTTAACAGGTGCTGTGATAAATGAAAAAAAAAAAAGCAGCAGAGGAGTTGGGAGACGGGATGCGGGAATGAGAATCAACTCCTTTCCTAAGAAAGGTTACAGTGCAGGACTGTCAGGATATGGAGGCGTCACCTAGAATTCATGTAATAGAAACTTAATCCCTAAATTCATGTTAATGATATTTGGTGGGTAATTAGGATTAGATGAAGGCATGAGGGTAGGTCCCATGATGGTATTAGTGGCTTTACATGGAGAAGAAGAGAGACCCAGACTAACACCTTACCCTGCCTTACCCTGCGATTTCCTCTGCCATGTTATGATGCAGCAAGAAAGCCTTCATAGAGGCTGGACTTCCCAGCCTCCAGAACTGTAAGCCTAATGAACTTCTCTTTTTCATAAATTACCTGGTGTCAGGTGTGTGTGTGCGCACACGCGCATGCATTTTTTTTTTTTCCAAAGCAATTGAAAATGGACTGCAACTAATAGGCATGGAAGAATGGATCTCATCCACGTTCCTCTTCTGTTCTCTTACCACCTACAATCCTCCTTTCCCCTCTTTTGGAACACAGCATCTTGGTCATGTGCCACTTCTAGTCTCCCATCCATCCGCAGGATCCTGGAGTCTCTAGGCCTCCCATTGCCCCGACCCATGACCAGCTATTTCAGCAGCACATGTAATGTTGACTTCCTTGTCCTTGTTCTTCAGGGTAATGACCTTGCCGATGTGCAGCCTTGTGTAGAGGATCAGTCCACTTCTTTTTATTCTTCAGAGCTACTTAGTCTCACAGGGGAAGTTAATTAAGGTCAATTTGTTTCCTTGCAAACTGTGCCCCAGTGATCTCAACTGAGGCCCTTTCGCTGTTCAAGAATATTCTTAATCATCTCTCGCGAACACCTGTCAGGATTCCTGAGCATCCTTTCCAAACTTTTCTCTCTCCAGCAGTTCTGGCTCAGCCCTTGCCTCTTTCTTGATCTTAGGCTTGGAAAAGCACTGCGGACACAAGCTCTCCGAGGATCCCCTGTGGGCCTCGTAGGATTTCACTCCTCCTTGCACCCTATTCCCATCTCTGCTCATTCTTCAGTCCCTTGAATTACAGCTTCAACCAATACCACTTGGCTCATCTTGGTAATGATAGCTACCATTTTTTAAAAATGTGTGTCATTAGGAAGTAAATGACCTTTGGAAAGATGGCACTTTCCATTCTTCTAACTTAAGGAACAGCTCTTTGAAAAAACATGAGCACTGAGAAGAGAAAAAGGAAGAAGCCTGCATTTTAAGAGAGAACTAACTGATGGCAAATTTAAGATCCTGAGGACTGGGAGAATTCTTTACACGCCAGCATCTAGAGAGCCCGGCTTTCTCCATAACTTATATTCTATTCACCTCTCCTGCTTTTTGCTTTTTAAGAACATCAACATTTATTGATCACAATAAAAAAGGTGAGATATGAACATTTGTGCTTAAACAATAACAAGTAGTCTTTAATACATTACAATTGAATGTATTAATTGAATTAATGCTCATTGAATAGCCCGTACACAATGAACATAGTCACAGTTGCACTCAAATTAAATACTGGATTAAAAACCTGCTTATCGATGTACACATCCATTCCAATGAAGTGTAAGCCTATTACTTCAAAATACCTACACTTTTTCTTTACTTTTTTTTTTTAAAGAAAATTACCCACTTTTTTTACTGGATGATAATTATCTTTGATTTGCAAATATATATATATATATAAAATTTGTAAAATCTTGTTAGTATTAATTTTTGTATAATTCTAAAAATCTAAAATAAAAAATATATCTTATCAAAAATTGACATTGGAGGTAAAACTTAAATGCCTACCAACCATCACCCCTGTTTTCAGTTTCCTCCTGTTTTTCCCATAGTGAACCCCTGCTTTGGAACGTATTCTTTGAAGACAGCTCTCGGCATTGATATAAACGTACAGAACGGCGGGCAAGTTGCAGTTCTGCGCATGCGCAGTATTGCCCTCCTCGATGGTGCCTGGGCACACAGCAATGGCCTGCAACCGTGATGCTCGATTTCTGCGGGGGCTGTATAAACCGCCGTTCTGCTTTCACATGAAACAGTAACTTGAAAACAACATCTGATTCTTGAGAACATAAAAACAAAACTCCATGGCTACTTTCAGTGGTGCAAAAGGTTGGACTCCTCCTCCAAGTACCTGACTTTGCTCATTTGTTTTCTAAATACTCAGAAATGTCGCTTTACGTCCCACTGGTTTACCTCTGAGTAGAGACACCCAGATCAAACACCCAAGGTCCACCAGCATTTGAAAAAGTGTTTGTCTGGAACTTCATTTTTTTTTTTTTTTTTTGCCTTTATGACCTAAAAACTCATCCCGGCCGCTCCTTGGATACATTCATAGGCTGGTCTTGACCCTCACAGAGAGGGACCACCAGGGGATGGGATCATATGTGTCCACTGGTTCTCCACACTGGCTATCAGTTACCTCTCCTTTCCTTAGACATTTGCCTCCTTCTGATTCCTACCACATTCAGGGGTTATTACTTCCTAAATTGATTTTTTTCTTTTTACTGATCCCCAGTAGTTAAAGCCCTAGCAATGTCTGTTCATTCCCTTCCGTTTTTATATAATGATTCCACTGTAGATAGTAGCAATTTAAAACAGAAATAAAACTCACTCCCCTGTTTTCACTGTAAGGTTTGCTGTCATATAATAGAAGCCTGGTGTCCACATTTTCATGGAGGCCCTAACTCATTCCTTGGTTCCATTCACCTCTCTTATTTAACTTTCTTTTCTTCCTTTCATATCCAACTGACCTAAGAGAGTAGTGAACACCCAGTACCTCTGCTCCTGCACCTTCCAATACCCCTTTCCTCGCTGCATTCCTTCTGCCCTGGTATCTGGCTCCTATCCACAGCTCTCCACTGTCGTTGTCCTTGATAATGTCATTCTTCATAATGTAGATGATGAACCTGAGGATGTGGTGGTGCACAACTGTAATCCCAGCTGCTTAGGAGGCTGAGGTGGGAGGATGGAAAGTTGGAGGCCAGCCTGGGCAACTTAGTGAGATCTTGCTTCAAAATAAAGAATAAAAAGGACTGGGTATGGAGCTCAGTGGTAGAGCCCTGGGTTCCACCCTGGGTACCACCATCAATCAATACAAGTTGATCACTTCTCTCGTACCCCTCCTTTCTTTCTTGAAGGACACCATTCAGCCTTGATCCACCTCCCCCTTGTTCAATGCACCTCCTCCAATATTGCTACACAAGTCTCACTGTTAGACTTCACATATTTTTACTCTGCTGCTGTCTCCAGGTGAGCTCATCCTATTTAGATCAGGGGCATCCCTTCTCTTTGTGCACTCCCCATTTATGTCAGTACCGTGTACTTAGTCTCATTGCACCCATATATTGAAACACTTCTCCTGTTTATCAGGGGAGTGGAATATTCCTAGGTCTCTCTCTCTCTCTCTCTCTCTCTCTCTCTCTCTCTCTCTCTCTCTCTCTCTCTCTCCCCCACCACTGGAGTGCTTGAGTAGAACCCAGAGGCTCACACATGCTAGGCAAGCACCCTACCACTGACCTACCCTCCCAGCCCTAGATAATGTTACATAACACATCCACAGTGTCCAACAGGCATTTGATGAATAGCAACATTAGGAAAATTGCTAAAATCTCTACTCCCAAAGTCTGCTCTATTTCCTTGTTTCCTTCATTCATTCCTCTGGGGTGCAGTTTAGCTGGGGACAGGCCCAGGTATTTGGCTTAGCATAGATCAAAGTGACCTAATGGGAAATAGCTTAGCATAATTCTCTAACCAAGTCATAAAAGTACCTATTGTCCTGTCCAAACACCAAATTACATGTGAGGTCATTCAGAGTCCGGAAGATGGTTGCTGTGATAAGGACTGAGACATTCTTGATCAAGTGGGAACTGGTATTTGTGAGCATATTCTGCATTAATAACTCACCAAAGCCAAGTTCTTAAGTTGAAGTGGCTAATAAGTGTCTTCTAATGAGCTGAACTCTTCCACTTACAGTGTGGCCACCCTCCTATCAGTTGACAACCATCTCCTGTTGACCTTGGGTGGACTGCAAATGGGCCTTGAAAGATTTTAGCCATTAAGTGAGGCTGATAAAACCTCGTGAAGATTGGCAAGCTTTATGTTGGCCCCAAGGTCTCTTAAAGGTCCTTTTTAATATCTTTAAATTTTGAGCTTTATCAACATGATCTTGAGATCTGTCTAAGGCATCATGCCAAACCTAATGAAGACTTTACTAGGTATGATCAACTGAAAGCCCTCAGGACCCCACACAAGGTATATTAAACACACACACACACACACACACACACACACACACACAAACAATCAATAAATGTGCCAAGGACCTGAACAGACACTTCTCAGAAGATGATTTACAATCAATCAACAAATATATGAAAAAATGTTCATCATTACTACCAATTAGATGCCGTAGTCCGGCTGCAGCAAAATAACCGGGGGGGTGATGAACAACTTGTGTAGATTGATACAGCAGGAGTGGAAGCCGTTTACTGCAGGACAGGAGCGGTATTTATACATTCCACGCAGCTTATCTAATTAGCATAAACTAGATACATCAGTCAACCAATAAGAAATCTCCACACTTAATGGCTCGTTGGCGTAACTTCACAAACCACTCCCTCTGGCAAAATGCCAGGCGCCATCCAGACTGTTTACAGACTCTAACATTTGCCAGGTGCCATCCTGACTTGTTTACAGACTCTAACAATTAGAGGAATGCAAATCAAAACTACTCTAAGATATCATCTCAGTCCAGTCAGAATGACAGCTATTATGAAGACAAACAACAATAAGTGTTGGTGAGGATGTGGGGGAAAAGGCACATTTATATCTGCTGGTGGGACTGCAAATTGGTGCAGCCAATATGGAAAGCAGTATGGAGATTTCTTGGAAAATTGGGAATGGAACCACCATTTGACCCAGCTATCCCTCTCCTAGGTCTATATCTAAAGGACTTAAAAACAGCATACTGCAGGGACACAGCCACATCAATGTTTATAGCAGCACAATTCAAAATAGCTAACTGTGGAACCAACCTAGATGCCCTTCAATAGATGAATGGATAAAAAAATGTGACATATATACACAGTGGAATATTACTCAGCAATAAAAGAGAATAAAATCATGGCATTTGCAGGTAAATGGATGGAGTTAGAGAAGATAATGCTAAGTGAAGTTGGCCAATCCCAAATAACCAAATGTTGATTTTTTTCCTCTGATATAAGGAGACTGATTCATAGTGGGGTAGGGAGGGGGAGCATGGGGGGGAATAGAAGAACTCTAGATAAGGCAGAGAGGTGGAAGGGGAAGGGAGGGGGCATGGGGTTAGAAATAAGGGTGGAATGGGATGGACATTACTACTCAAAGTACATGTATGAAGACACGAATTGGTGTGAATATACTTTGTGTAAAACCAGAGATATGAACAATTGTGCTCTATATGTGTAATAAGATTTGTAATGCATTCCACTGTCATATATAAGTTTAAAAAATTAATTAAAAAATAAAATAAAATAATAGAAAAAATAAAATAAAAATAGGATTTATTTTACCAAAGAAGGAAATTTTAAAAGTACAATTGAATCCACTGTACACCCTAAAGTGGATTCAACAATCCACTTTGGGGTGTACAGTGTAAGGACATAAAATCAGTATCTTGCCTTCCATGTTCATGGCAGCGTTATTTACAATTTCCAAAATATGGACTCTCCCTAAATATCCATCAGTGGATGAACAGATAAAACAGTTTAGTTACACAATGGATATTATTAGACTGAAAGGAGAAGGAGATTCTTCCACTTGGGACAACATGGATGAACATGGAGGACATTATGCTAAGTAAAATGAGATGCGTTTTCAAATATAGAATCTACAACAATGGAATTTACAGACACAAAGAGAAAAAGGGTGATTATTGGGGCTGGAGGGTGGGGAGATGGGGAGATACTGGTCAAAGAGCAAAAAGTTGCAATTAGGGAGAATAGATGATAAGTATTTAAGGTGAGGGATGTTTCTATTAGCTTGATTTGTCCATTGCACACTTTATATAATATCAAAACATCACTGTGGCTGGGTGCAGTAGCTCATACCACTAATTCCAGCAGCTCAGGAAGCTGAGGCAGGAAGATCACCAATTCAAAGCCAGCCTCAGCAACTTAGCAAGGCCCTAAGCAACTCTCTCTAAATAAATACAAAATAGGGCTGGGATGTGGCTCAGTGGTCTAATGCCCCTAGATTCAATCCCCAGTACAAAACAAAAACAAAAATAAATCATTATTTCAATCCCATAATTATATATGTCTATAATTCATCAGGAAGTAAGAGAAAAAATGTGCATATAACAGAGGTAGACACTGATAGCATATATAGGTGAATGCAAAAGTATGTACCTAAGAGGCACAAAAGAAAGTAAGGGCAGAAGGGGTGGCTTGAAATTGCTCTTTGTGGTTTCTTTGTAGAGTAGTTGAGACCCCTGAGTGTACCTTCCAAGAGGCAAGACACACCAGCAACTAAGCCCCACCTCCCCGATGGTTCATTCGATGCCTCTGTGGGGCAGAGCATTAGAAGTCATCTCTTCTGTCTTGGTATAAATTATTCCTTTTCTAATACTTCCACATTTCATTACCCAAACAATGCATGCTCATTGCTAAACTAGAAAAAAATAGTAATAAAAAAGATATAACCAATGGTACATTGGAATATGTATTCTTGTAGATAACTTTCCTCTGTATATGAACTGTGACCTAGTGTAGTGCTTCAGTTTTCTATTTCTGCTATGTCAAATTAGTACAAAAATAACAGTTTAAAACAACACAAACCAGGCATGGTGTCACACGCCTATAATCTCAATGGCTTGAGAGGCTGAGGCAGGGGGATCATGAGTTCAGAGCTAGCCTCAGCAGAAATGAGGCATTAAGGAATTCAGTGAGACCCTGTCTCTAAATAAAATACAAAATACGGTTGGGGATGTGGCTCAGCGGTTGAGTGCCCCCAAGTTCAATCCCCAGTACCGCCCCCCCCCGAAAAAAAAACCCACAAATGTATTCTGACAGTTCTATAGGCCAGAAGTCTAATATTGTGTAACTGAACTTAATGATGAGGTTGGCAGGGCTGTGCCTCTTCTCTGGGTTGGGGAGAATTGCCTCCTTGTCTCCTGTCACTGGAGGCTGCTCACATTCCCTGGTCTGCAGTCCTCTTCTCTCATCTTCGAAGCCAGCAACTCTGCCTCTATTCATGCTTTCCCAGCCACATCTCCCATTCATCATAACTGGGAATGTCTGGCACCCCCTCCTCCACAGAAAATCTTAACTGGGCTTCTCCAGAAACCTTCGTCATGGCTGATTTTAGGACTGTCGGCAAAAGAGTCTCTACAAAAGAGGTCAATGTCGATAAACTTCCTATTTTTGTGTTGTCCTGTTTTACTTGGCCACTGGCCGGGAAGATACCAGCACTCCAGGTGCTGGACACCCCCTTACTAGTTTTTTCACAAACGTATCCAGTATAGTAGTTTGTAGAAATGTGCAAACAAGGCCTCTGGCCTTGAGCTGGGCTTCACAGAGATGTCTACATTTCTAAGATAAGTGACCAATTGGTAACAGCTGGCAGGGGGAGGAAAGAAAGGGGAGAAGAAGCTCCCCTTTTCAGGGATTGTCCAAGGGTTAACTTGCCCAGAACAGTGAAAGAAAAAGCTGCTTTTATGTGAACTTCTGCAGACTGTGGACTTCTGAGCCCCTCCCCTTACATGCTGGTATAAAGTTCTGAAATTACCTGAACTCGGGGTTCAGGGGATTGACTGATTACAGCAAAAGCTGTGCCCTCTGAACCTGGCTGCAGCCAAATAAAACTGTTTCCCACTATCTTTGGTGCCCTGCCTTGTCTGTCTCTACAATAGGAAAAATTCTCACTTGTTTTAAGGACTCATTTGACTAGACTTGACTTCACATCTACAAAGTCCCTTTTGTCATGTAAGGCACGTGCTCCTGGGAATCAGGATATGGACATGTTGGGGCCATTATCTCCTCTGGAAACCAAATAGCTAATGTCCACAGAGGTTAAGTCATTCACCCAAGGTCACAAAGCTGGTAAATCTTGGATCGATTTGCAAGTACTTTCAGATTATAAGCTCTGGTGTGATGAGATTTGTGACTAGTGAAAATGTCTGATAAAAAGGAAGTAAAGAAGAACTGCAAAGAGTTTGAAGGGACTTAGAACTGAGCATCTGAGAAGCGGGGACTTCATTCTTGGTCTAGGTATACCATGAGCCTGTGTGTCTCTCAACAGCAGGCATCTGTGACAGCAGACGAGACCACTGACTGCTCCTTTGGCTACTCTTGACACTTGTCATATCCTTACCCGATTTTTCCAGTGCCTGTCTTACTACTTAACATGACTCATGGCTTCCACCACCTCTCCAGTGTTTCTCTCTGTAGGTCACCTTCAACCTCCCTCAATGAAAAGATCCTTGGTGTAGTCTGCAGGTGGCCACAGAGCACTGGACATCCCTGTCAGGTAGAAAAAACCCATCAGGGTTATCTCACTCGTCAGACAACTCACAGATGGCTATCTTCAAAAGACAACGGCCATTTTTTTAGTTCCATCAGCCAGAATCAGGGGATCAAAAATAACCCTCTGCATGTAGGAATCTGAGAAGTAGCTAGATTTATGTCAGTTGAAACAGACTTTGAATTAAAAACCTTAAAAAGAGACACATTATAAAAAAGGGGTCGACTCAAAAAGAGGATGTAATGATCACAAATATACATGCACCCAAGATCAGGGCACCTAAACATATACGGTGGCAAATATTAGCAGGTCTAAAGGAAGAGACTGACCACAACAGAACAGGAGGATACTTGGGCATCCCTCTTAGAGCAATGGACAGGTCACCCAGAAGGTCAACAAGTATCCTATTGAAATGGCACTCCAGGACAAGTGGATGAATTGTGAAAATCTGTGTGTGAGAAGTCCGCTTCTCCTAGAATAGGGCTGGGAGCAAGGAATTTCTTCCCAACATATCCCTGCATTTGCCTAAGAGGTACCTTAGCTGGGTACCACCACTAGAATGATTAGCAGAATGAGGGAGGGGCAGAAGGAGGGAGGAGATGGCCCCAGAGCTAATACTGAGTATGGACATTCTGAAAACAGTCAGGCAATTGCCTTCAGTACTTCAAGGCTATTTACTGATCTTTAACGAAGAGGCCACACAGGCTTAGGAAAGTTCTAAAATTATATCATTTTTATCAGCAACCAGGTCCTCAAGTTGCTCCCACAAACCACAGAGAATTTCGCAATATGCCTTTGGCAAGAGCTCTGATGCTCCCAACTGGTGCCCTCGCTGGTTTCTCCAAATGCATTCGCTCTGAATGGGGGGTTGGCATGGGGGGAAGTGGTCTCATTAACTGAGTAAGAGTGAATGTCAACAAGTTTCAGAAGAAAACTCCCTTGGGGACCCTGAGCAGTGCCCCCACCATCCCCACCTTCCTCTTGGAAGAACACTTCTGTAAACATTTTATCTGGTATTTCCCACAAAAATGTGTGCTGTGGTCACAGCTCGGAGATGCCAACCCAAATCTCAAACAGCCACCTCCTGATTGAGAATACATTCTGGGCTGTTTATAGTTTGTTTGGTAACCAGGGACAAAAGCTGATTTCAATTTTAATTAATTTTATATGGCGGGGGGGCAGGTAGATATCTGAGAGAGTCATAGTACATAGTGTCCCTGGTGGCACAATGTCACAGTATTGAGAAGTACTGGACATATGTTCAGAGATTTTTCCACTGTGGTATGTTGTACTTTTTCTCCTCCTGTTGTGCTTTTGATTTATTTTTTAGTTAGTTAATTTTGTGGTGCTGGGTTCTCGTGCCTGCTAGGCAAGTGCTGTACCACAGAGAACTTACTACCCCCAAACCCCTGTTATGCTTTTATAGAAAATTCCAATGGTGAGCACAGCAGCTGTGAATCCCCAAGCACCCATGATCTGCCAACCTCAACCTCCTAGAGAGCTGGGATTGCAGATAGATGAGGCAAGAAGCTGGAAAGAAGTTGGTGGTGAGCTGCTGTGTCTGTGGCAGCACAGGAGGCCCGCCATTTAGACCTGCAACAGGCCACTTGATAGTAGTGAAGAAGAATCCGGCTTTGCTGGCTGTGACCCTCAAAGGCATCCCCTGCTGTGATTAGCTGCTAACACTGATATGGGCTTCCTGGGCTACAGAGGCCAAGGAGCCCAGGAGCATGCACAAGCCCCACATGCCAGCAGAAGCAGAGAGTCCTCTGGCCAAGTTGATCTCAAGATCTTATGGTTTCACCCAGGCCACAAAAGGCCAAGCTGTTACAAAATCTGAGTTTGCATTTTGAAGGTTGAAGAATGCACAAAATGAAGATAAGAAGCTTCTTGCTCAAAAAGCAGAGACCAGTGCCAAAGCAGATGAACTTTCTACCAACACCCTCCGTCCTTGGCTTCCTGATGAGTACGGAGGATGGAAAGGTAGAGGAACGTGACAGCAATGAGAAAAGACGTCTTGAAGACTCCTCTCCCTCAACTTGACCAAACTAAACTGAAGTCACGCTCCCCTCACTTACTATTTCTCATTTCCCATTTTGGCAACAAACACCATCATTCACTTGGTAGTATCAACTATAAAATTAGGAATTGGACTTTGCAAATATGTCTCCTTTGCCCATATCAAATTTTTAACTGATTGTTGTCCATTCAATCTCCAACTTAATACCAATGTGATAGTATTAAGAGGTGGGGCTTCTAGAGACCATTCACTGGTGACGGATGGGTTCAGGGTTCTTATAAATGGGCTTGAAGGAGTGAGCTTATCCCGTTTCCTCCCCTTGTTTCATTTGAGAACTCAGAGTCCCCCTCCAGAGCATGCAACATTCTAGGCACCATCTTGGAAGTAGAGATGGGCCTTGAACAGACAGACCTACTTTGATCTTGGACTCTAGAAATGGAAAATAAAAAAATTATATTACTTATAAATTGCCCAGTATATGGTATTTTGTAATAGCACAAACGGATGAAGACAAATGCTTTAAAAGTTGGTCAAATTTAATTTATGCAAAAGTCTTGATAGACTGTACACAGACAAAAGCTCTCTGGAGTTCTTGGCCATGAGACTAAAACATTTTTCAAATCACTGACCAAAAATTCTGGTCATTACGTGGCCACTACCCGACTATCCTACCTGATCCTTCCCTATACTGCTCTGCTCCCAACCCTAACTTCAGTTCCTGTTCTTACCCCCATTCTCTCCCAACACAGGCTACGTTGGCAGAAACCCTGTCATCCTCTTGATCCAATAAACTTGATGCTATTTTCAAATTGCATCCTTCCCGTTGTTAATTCCTCAGGTAAGCCTCCCCCGATCTTAATTCATTCAAATTTGCTGTAATAAAACCTCATAGGTTTCTCACCTCTCATTCATTGTTGTGGTTCTTGATTTTACATTAGTCTCTACCCTTGTTTAGTTACTGTATGAAGGTCAACAAACTAAAATGAGGCAGGAAAAAAAAGAAATGAAAAGAAAATTCCCATGGTGTGTTATCTTCTGGACTTCCTATACATTGTAATAATTAATTAATGGGATACATTCATTTTTTACTTTGAAATATGCAGCAGTCTTCATGCAATCAAAGTATATTTTTTGATCATTTATCATTGTTAGGAATAGGAATAAATTGGTGATTAAAAATGTAATATAAAATAGCATGTAAGTTAGATATGCTGGCTCCAAATAATTTAAAATAACACTTATAATGGATTGAACAGTAGAAAAAGACGGGAAATGAAATCAGAGAGGCAGCAGGGATTGCTCAGAGGAGACCCTGTGGGCAGTGTTAAGGTTTGACTCTGCTTTCAGTGAAATCTGACGCTCTTCCAAGCCATTGCAATAATCAAGGCCGGAGAGGGTGAAGATTTGGGTCAGAGAGATACAGTGGAATAGCAAGAAATGGAGGAATTTAAGTTGTAATTGCAAGAGTGATCCACGGGGTCCTAGATTTGAGAAGTAAGAGAAAGAAATCAAGATTGAGCTCAAAGATTCTGGGCCTCAGGACACTCCGGAAGGAGTTGCCCTTTTCGGAGATGAAGAAGACTACACAGGAGCTGGTGGGGAATGGAACAGAAAATCAGATTTGGAGCTCGAGGTTGTCAGACACGGAGGTGAGGCTGTGGAAAAGCAGGCTGAATGTTTGAAGGTGGAGTTTGGGGAAGGAGCGTGGGCTGGGGATAGGACTTTGAGAGACATTGGCATCCAGATGACCTTCAACACTGGATGAGATCACCAAGAGCCTGCCCCCAGGGCAGAGAAGCCGACTGAGGGCTGAGGATCAGGTGGGTCCGTGTGGAGAAGCTGGGGAGAGGAGAGGAGCCAACAAAGGAAACTGGGAAGAAGCAGTCTTGGGGGAAGGAGAACCATCACGACTTCATGGGTCCTGAAGGGCAAGTGAAGATGGAGTCCAGGAGCACGTGAAAAATGTGTCATGGGCAGAGAGAGGAAGTATGATGGGCTCTGTGGTCTGCATGGGTGCCCCAGAAGTTCACGTGTTAGAAATCTAATCCTCAAATTTGAATAGTTAGGGCATTGGGCAGTGAGGGCCTGTGGGAGGTGATTAGATGACATGGTGAAGATGAGGCCCCTATGATGGTGTTAGTGGCTTTATAAGAAGAAGAAGACAGGCCTAAGCTAGCACATGTCCTCTGCCTGGCCATGTGGTGCCCTCTGCCATAACAAGACACAGCAAGAAGGCCCTAGCCAGAGGCTGGCATCATGCTCTTGAACTTACAAGCCTCCAGAGCCAGGATCTGAATAAACAAATTATTTGTAAAGTTCCTGGTCTCAGGTACTTTGTTATAGCAACAAAAAAATGGATAATGATGGGGCTGAGAACAGAGTGACAGACTGAGTGATGCGGAGGTCTTTGGTGACCTGGACAAAGCAGTTTCAGTGGCAGGGACAAGAGGGAAGAGAGTAGTTGGAGGCAGCACCATAGATAATCCTGTAAGGAACTTTGTTGTAAATGGGAACAGCAGAGTGGAGCAACAGCCAGAGGCAGGTGTGGAAGCAAAGACTTATTATTATTTTTTTAGATAAAAGATCAAATATGCTCAAATAATAATAAAACTGCATGCTCTTTACCACTTAGCTACACCCCCAGCTCCAGACGCTGACATTTTACTGATACAGCAGAAAGGGGATAGAAATTGCTGGGGTCCTTGGGAAGAAGAGAAAGAACAGGACACAGGAAACTAGCAAGAAATGTTGACTTTGCATCGGGAGAAAGGCCAGACTTCAAGGGTGGGTGGGTGAGTTCATTCTCTTCTTTTCCCAGAAAGTAAAAAACAAGGTGGTCAGGTGAGCTGAAGTTGTGCAGGAGGAGACGCAGGTGCAGGCTTAGGGAGGAAGAACAGGGTGTGCAATGGCTACTTGGAGGGTGAGCGAGGGAGCAGGCTAGGGGAGCACCGTAGGATCACTGCCAGGAAACAGAGAGACACCGTTGGCTACTGTGTCAACTCCACAGTCTGTTTTCTGATATCTGATGTCTTTCCTGAGTTCCAAGCTCAGTCTCCTCCTGTTCCAGAGAATGTCACCCCTTCCCCTAGTTTCCAAAGCAGAAAGCTGGGAGTTATCCTGAGCCCTCTTCTGTCATTTCCATCCACCTCCTTAGCATCTCTTAACTTTTCCTCCCAAGTTCAGAAACTTCATGATTTTTCACTGGATTGGTTAAATAAGACTCTCACACTGCTGTTGCTTAGACCATCTCCCTCAGAAGTTTACAAGTTTTTAGAATTCATCTCAACAAACATTAAGGCCATGGTAATGAAGGTAAATAATAAAGAATTACTTTGTGCCCTTGAATAACTCACAACTTAGGACAGGACAGCATTTCTCATTTTCTGAAATTGAAAATACCAGAAAAGAATCATGTTTTTTTGGATGAACATTATTAGTTCAGTTTTCAGCATCATTGACTTGTGTTGCCTATGAGAAATTCAAGCAGGGGTGTTCAATAATTTAGCCGGTAGACACTAGGTGGCTGTGTGGCCTGATATTATTCTCTAGCAATTACAAGGTAGGCATGTGGTCCGACGTGCATTCGATTCATCCTGGACTCTTGTTAAAAATACAGAACATGATTCAGCAGGCCGAGTGCCAGGATGCATATTTTGTAGTTTTAACAAATCTCTAGGTGATGCTAATTAATACTGATCCACAAACTTCACCTCGAAGATGACAGGTTAGAAGACAGGCCCATCCAGATCCTATAATGTGCTAATTGTTATCATAATAAGAGAGCTATGTGAACTTAGGTCAGGAAATGGATTAAGGCAAAGCCACACAGATGGTTCACTTGGCAGGACAAGGAACGTCTACTTGATTCTGAAAATGAAATAGAACCATGGAAGGATCTTAACAGAGGGATGACTTGGTTTTGTGCTAAATGCTTATTGAAGCTGACAGGGTCTCAACCACTATCTATGCAGCAGAGCCATAACTGAGAGTAGAGAACAAGAAAACTAAGGTGCTCGATCCTAGAGGAGGTTGGACAGGTGATAGCAAGAAAACAATTGAAGTAAGTAATTTTAGTTTGTTGGAACACTATAAATAAATAAATAGTAATGCAACTGAGCACAAGGGCTTGCTCAAGTGGGAGATGATTTTTGAGCCAAGAATTAACCAGGCAATGGAGCTAGTCATACAAGAATCTGGGGGAGAACATTCTGGGCATAGGAAAGTAGAAAGGAGCAGGCAGGAATTCTTTGAGGATCAAAGTCAGCATGACTGGAGTCTAGCAAGCAGGAGGGGGAAGATGGTATGAAACGAGGTCAAAAGACCAGCAGGGGCCCAGTCATGGAGAGGCTTTGAAAGCTGCAGTGGCGTTCACACTTCCTTTTAAATGTGAGAACAAAGTGAAAAAAAAAATTAATTGCATTTTTTAAATGCAACCGTGTGGAGATGGGCTGGAGAGTGTGGATTCCTGGGGCAGGCTCAGAACTAGTCTCCAGAAAGATGAATCTGTCAGCAGCGGGCAAAATGGCTGAAAGGCAAAAGAAGTTCTTTTGCAATGTGGCAATGGACAGCTCAGAAGGAACTGGGGAAGTCAGACTCACCCTTCCACACCATGAGGCCACGAGGAAGTGAGAGGCAAGATTCAAATAATACCCAACTCTCCTGAGCCCAGGTGTGGAAGGCAGGAGCCTCTGGTTAACTCTTTCACTTAATCTTCCTTCTTCATGATCCCAGAATGCGTGGAACAAAAATCAGTTTCCGAGGTGTTAATACAGAAAGGGACATACGGGAACATCTGGTTGTCAATATATAAACACTTCGGGTGATTTTCAAAGTCAGGAGAGGTTGGGATTACGAAGAAGCTCTCCATCTCCTCTCGCCAAACCAAATGAAGATGCTTAACAGTGTTTGAGTGCCAATAAAGCCCTCCCTGACTCCTTGCACCTTTTAAAAAATATGCTGCTGGTTAGCTGACAACTCAGGTAGTGAGATTTCAGGAATTTCATGACGAATCTGCCTTACAGACACCAACTGCAGGGTCATGGTGCCTTCCCTGGAAGCTCTGAGGCTGGAAATTTAGCTGTGAAAGTTAAAGCCACCCCAGAAGGGACCGGACTCTCAGCTGTGGTCCTCATTTGTATTTTAATGTAAATGAGTTTCAGATCCTTCTCTGGAGAGGAGTTTTTGCCTGAGAAACAATGGACGCCTGGGTCCCAAGTGGGGGGCAAAGGGCTTGGGAGAGCAGAATGGGGAAGGGGAAAGGGGAAGAGGTGACAAAGACCCTGTACTTGGCTTCCTTCACACATCTGCCCAGGGCCAGGCCATAGCCTCCCACCCCCTCCCTGAGCAGAGCGCTATCAAAATGCTGAATGGCAGTGAAGAAGAAAATCTCGCTTTATGAGTTTGCATTATCTGAACTTGATTAGATTCTATGGTGCATCTGGATGGCTGCCTGAAAAATATGTATTTCTTTCCAAGGGAAACTCTTTGATCTGCATTTTGGACCAGTTTCCCTTGTAGCTGCTGGGCTGCTTTCAACCATGCCCAAATCAGAGAAGGGTTTGAAGGTGCAGGGAAGCTACAAGGTATAGCAGGGAGAGTTGTGCATTTCCCATCCAATTTTCTATTTCATTTGTTCTTTTTAGATATACATGACAGTAGAATGTATTTTGCCATAATGTACATATATGGAGTATGACTTATTCTAATTAGGATCCTATTCTTGTGGTGGTACGTGATGTGGAGTTACCCTGGTTGTGTATTTGTATATAAACATGGGGAAGATATGTCCGAGTCATTCATTCTACTGTCCTTCCTATTCCCTTCCCTTTGTTCCTCTTTATCTAATCCAATGGACTTCTTCTATTCTTTCCCTTCCTACCCTCCTTGTTGTGGGTTAGCATCCACCTA